CATCATGTAAGGGCTAAAATCTTACTGACATAACATGAGTATGATACCTAAGTCCTTTCAGGATAGCATGTATAGATAATGTTAAAATGTTGTCATCTATGTTCCTAAATCTAAGATGGTTGATTTTGCTTGGTGCTAGGAGGAGATAAATTGTAAGGCACAAAGAGGCCCATGCTGAGCTGTTAACTATTCTACTTCATTCTAAGAACTGACAGTATGTCGAAAAAACAACAAAGATGATACCACCGTGTCAACAGAACTCGAAGTAGGATTTGACGAAACTAGAAAAAAGTAAGACGGACGGAGACTCCTTCCACAGGACAAAACCGGTTGTCTCCAGAAGGATAAGCGTCTTCTACTTCATCATCTTAATCTTAGTCATTCCAAGTTGTCAGTGTCTCGTTCTAAAACGAGGACAAATTAAACAATCATGGAACCACCAAACATCCGAACGAGCATAAACCGCATCCATCTTCACATAGCTCAAATATATATCTATATGATTTTTTCTAATAAGATTAATATGACGACCGTAAAAAATCACCATGGTCTTCATCGATCCGCATTTCGTGTTATAGGCCTATTGTAGTCTGTACATTGTAAGGGGGCACTAGAATGAAAGTCAATAAAGCTTGAGAAAATCATACCTGAAAATGTCGAAAGCACGTATAATATCAAATTAAACAGAATATCGAATGAAATCTAATTCTAAATATTTGTTTTAGGTATTTTTGAAAGAAACGGTTTCTGTAGTATGATGAATATAGGTTGATTATTCCAATACTGTATCGAATAAGACAATGTTTTAAGAGCTCATTTATCTTAAACCTAAATCTGAATTTAACATGCATGTATTTTGAACAATTCTGCTAGCTGTATTCGGCTGTGTACTTCACTGTGACAGCACTATAAGATAGGCTTTTGTTTCGAACTTCACGTGGAGGTTTTCACGAACGTATTGCAGCCTCCTACTCGCCCTGCAATCCTAGCTTTTGATAGGACGTTAAGCAATATAACACAAAACAATTTTGAACTGAATGAACTGCTTATATTTTTTAAACAATCCTAAATCAATAAAATGACAATGCACATTTATTAACCAAATAAAATCTCCGCGTTTATTAACTTTCCAAAACTGCATGAAATGACCGTGCGTTCTAAACGACCGGAAACTACATAAATCGTCATGTGCTCTTGGTTTCCTAAAATAAATGAAATGCATGTGTTTTATTAGATATCTGATGTAACAAAACGAATCTTACGTTAGTAACGTACAGAAAATATATGCTTACTCCAAACACATAACTAAATTTCTGAATTATCAGAGGCGGATTATCACGCTTAAAAAGTATCAAACCTTGATTCCTACTACAGTTATACTGTTAGTAGCCAAATTGTTTCCATTTGGTAGGTTCTATTACACAAGAGGACTTACAAACATTTAAATGCCCTTCGTTCATTGACGGTGGTCGACACTTATACACTAATTAGTGATTTGACGTATGGCGAATGAGACCAAGGTACTTTCCACATTGTCTTTGACAGACAATGGCCTGTGTTAGTGTAGAGAAGATTACTGACAAACTTACTCAATGACCTATTCCCGAGCAATATAATAATATAATGTGTTTTTACAAGTCTTCTCTGTCACATTGATCACTTACATAACATTTATATAACTATTGAGATTAACCACGAATTTCTTTATACGTTTATTTAGTTTTTATCAATATTTTATATATGTAATGTTAAATTACCCTCAGGTATCAATTGCAGTTTCAGCAGTTAATTCTATTTTCCAACACTTGAAGTTTGCAAATATATTTTCATAACCTGTCAAGTTGACTTAAAAACCAAATCTAGTTTCAGTAGCGTGTACCATTGACACCGCCTCTCAACCGAGTGTCATTCATTAATAGGATTCCCAAATAAACACAACTAAACTTGTTCAAGTCCTTTGTGTTTTCTGTCAAGGCTTTTGAAGATTTCTCCAGACACAAATCAATCAATGGACTCAACTTCTGAATTAGTCACGAGATGGGTACGCTCACTTATCACCGCCTGTAGATATCCCCGTAGCGAGTCGCGTGTTCATTTTTCTGCATTCTTAACAAAATTGCAGGTAGCTTTTTACTGCAATTTGTCTGCTAATAAATAGCGTGACCCGAGCAACCACGTGGAGTACTGATGTGCCTTAGACACGCACATAAGGCCATTCAACTACACAAGACCTTACGTTGAATCTACACATATCGGTATCTTCTTTTGCAATTGAGTTATCTCTTTTGCCGTGTTAAGAATGAAAAATCTAAAATCTTCGGTTAAAATATTTTGACAATTATACTAACCTTGTTTCATGTTCGTGTCAGTTTGAAATATGCTGCCTCCCTTCCATATTGAATTTCAAAAAAATGAAATTATGGTGTTATCTTAGAACCAAATCTATCCTGTTTGTTTTGGCCTAAAACTTATTATCTCTGTCGAGTTCTTTTTTTATTCAACAAGGTTTTGGTATGCTATATTAAAAGGACAAGGCTTTTTTTAAACTATTAAACAAAACAATTTTATTCCTCTGTTCTTGATGACCTGATACACATTTTCCTACGTTATTGTTGGTTTTTGTTTCGCAGGAATTTGTCAATAGAAACATCTTTTCATCAAGTTTAGGATAACTAATATGATGCAGCCTCTAAGTTAAAATACTAACGTGTAGAAATTATTATCTGAAAATGTGGTTTATTGTCAGTTAGTGCTTAAAATATATCAGAACCCAACACTTTTAGCAACCTTCAGCATCGATACGGCAATCTACGTGCATAGTATATATCGTTTAGAGGCACATGGAAATTGATCTTACTTGTATACGTATATTGCATTTATCTTACATTTATATGTATTTTACATGTATATGTATTTAAACGGATATGTATTACATATATGTATACCTCAAATCAAAGAGGGATGTGCTCTCAATCGATCGTTGGTGGAAAGATCTTTCCGTTCTAGTCTCAGTCACCACATATTATATTTCGCCCACATTGATACTATTTACTGTGATGAATTCACCCTCGTTGCCCACGAGATTTGTTTCGCAATATGTCTCTTAAGCAGGTTTCTGATTTAGGACATGGGTTCGAATCCTCTGTTTAGTAGAATGACCCACTGTGTCGAAAACATGTTAGCACTGGAAGCAGAAAACGCTTACTCTTCCGGAACACCTAATATTAAACATTTGAAATATATAATGTATACATTACACGCCAAAAATGATCTAGATCGGACTGACTTAATCACTTATCACGTGATCATATAACTTTTTTATATAATAGATTTACATCTGTAAATGTAGCGATCGAAGAATAAGCTAGTGCCTAAGTCTCACGGAATCTGTACTTTCTGTACGATTCCAAATTTCAATATTGAGATTAGATGTTTTTTTTATTTTATTTGGATTTCACGGGTTGTTCTGATATATGTATTAATTAAGTATTGAATTATGTCGTCTGTTCCGTATTTTCCATTTCTAGACGTGTTTCTCACCAATAGACTCTGCACATTTTGAATAGTTTATGTCAAATAATTGATATGTATGCATAACACTGATAAACGTAATCTGACATATAATTTGTATTCTTTGGAACTGTCTTTTCTTTATCATTCTGATATTTTCACCATAATGTATGTGCTACAGAAGGTTGTGGAGACGCACTGACTTTCTGCATGCTGTATCCTCAATAGATGATAACAGAAATATAGACATATCTAAAGCTTACACCAAACATTTAAGGAAACAATTAAGTCTGATGCATCATATCAATATTTTTTACAAAACGCAAATTCCATTACTTAAAAATTGTAGAAAAATTGAACAAGGATTATTGGTGTGCCCTGCGCTTGCCGCTTGGGTATTGTTGTGGCAGAATGATTGAAACGTGCTTTGTAACGCCGAATTGTGGCAGACAAACAGTGTGTTCCCGTTAACAAAGTTACTAGTCTCCTGGGCAAGCTTATAATCAAAGTCCCGACGTTAACATATTCCACCTCGCAGTTGCTGGGTTTGTCGTGGATGTAAACAAACACGATACAATCCTAAAACATGCCTTTGCTATCAGTGATCAGCGCGGCCGTAACTTTGTTAAATTCCCATAAAATCATCTTACTATTTTCTATCTAGTTTAAACAGTTTCCATTCAATACCCCGAAGACTTTTATTCGAATGTTTCTTTTACGAAATTGCATCACATGTACCGATTCCATGGTTAGTTTGTTATAGGACCAGACATCCTAGGATCATTGATGATTTATAAACATGAAAAGGCGCATTAAAATGGAGAGGATTCCCAGGGGCACACGAGAGAAAGCTTCACCATACTGTCAGAGTGGGTTAGAATGGGCTTTTGTGAAACTAGTCTGAGTCATATTCCATGCGTAACGCACGCATAAAGGAACTCCATTCAAGAAATACATATTTCTTGTGAATTACTCTTGCCAATAAACTCAATGATAAAATACAACCCACTTTCTGGACAACGATATGATTGATTTTGATCAAGTTCTCTGCTGATAATGGACATATCTGTCTGTAGACTTTCCTTCTGCACGTTTTCATTTATTTGAGTTAGTCTCCAAATTACAAGTTTTGTTTTAAAATGCTGTCTGTCAATAGAGAGTAGACATCAAACTATTTACTATCTCCCTAGGGAAACTTTTATTTTAATTTATACATACTCTACTTCGTTTGCTCTGGAAAACTTTCATACTGAAACAAAAGACATGTTGATGCATATTAATAATAAACTGATTTCTCATTAAAACAAGGTAAATGTATGTGTAGTATTTCGTCAAAATTTACACGTTAAATTCATGCGACAGTCATTGTTCTATTACTATGTTTCGTTGTGTAAGTATCAATATGATCAGGACTTACTAGAAAGTATGATTTAACAACTTGTTTATTACATTTATGTTTTATCAACTCATCAAATGTCTCTCTATTTCAGGCTGTCAAAGAACAGATGGGGACAGAGTGTAAATGCCACGGTGTATCGGGATCTTGTTCTTTAAAAACATGTTGGACAACATTGCCATCTTTTCGGAGAATTGGTGATCATTTGTACAAAAAATATAATAAATCTAAAATGGTATCGCCTTATTACGCAACGAGGAACCGAATACCTACCTTTTTGACATTAAAAAGATCAAAGCGAGCGCATGCAAAACCACGCCGCTCTGATCTGGTGTATCTTAAGAAATCCCCAAATTACTGTGATTTTAATTCGTCAACTGGTTCTTTGGGAACGGTAGGCCGGAAGTGCAACAGGACGTCTTCCGGAACAGATGGCTGTGATTTGATGTGTTGTGGGCGGGGCTACAACACCCACCAGTACACAAAAACTGACCAATGTCACTGTAAGTTTTATTGGTGTTGTTACGTCCAGTGTCGCGAGTGTAGTGAACGGACAGAGGAGTACGCATGTAAATGAGACGTTGTATTATTCTGACACGAGGAGGAATTTACATGCGCTTTTCTGTTCTTAGCTTGTGGATGAGAAAAGTACTTTCGTTTCCACTTTTTGTCGAGCTGGACCAACCAGATGTAGGACGCCGTCACTGTTATCATTGTCTTTTATGATTCCATATGTTCTGGTGCCCAGTAAAAATCGTTATATATTGCTGGACCCCTATTTTCCCACTGCTACATCAGAATTTAGAAATGTCATCCGGTTTTATTTGCGAACTAACCATTAATATTGGTGTTTAAAACCATGTGAAACTCATTTGTGACTTTGACTTCACACAATATTATTGTTCAAATGACGCAAAAGAAAGCTCTACTATAATATCGTCATATCACAATATACTTCTATTTATTTCAATTGCATGTACAGTAATTAGGAGACATTTTTATATATGTGTCACTCACATGGTTATCCAATCTGTCTCGTATTTATGATTTAATATGTACATGATGAACGGTTAAAACACTCGATGTAATTTGTATAAGTCATCATCTTTCCTTGAATGATTGAGGTTTTTTTTGTTATATGGAGATGAAAGCCAGTGACTGTTGACAAAGATTTATTATTTGTTCAAGTGAGAGAATAACATGTGCTGTTCCATTGTTGTCTATAGCGTTCAGAAGAATTTAAATCGTTAGTGTCGAAATAATCAAATAGAATTAACAATTTGACTAAGGAAACATTTAAAAATTTAGAGAAGGGTTGTAGAATGTCTGTTTGGCAACTTGACAAGGACTAGCAACATATTTTCGGAAGACATCGGTGCAATCTTCCATGAATTGGATGAGGAATTTTAGATGTTATAAACAGTGATTTTGTTTACCGAGCTGTCATAGTATAACATTTGTAATACTACGGGTGTATTACTACTTCATACTATTGTATAATATATTGATTTACACGGGTACATTGTTGGTGTAATGTACTCAGGTAGTGTATAATGTATATTATACTCAAGTTAAACATTGTATAGTGTACTCGTTTGAACATAATGTGTTTTACTCGTATAGTAAAAGGTGTAATATACTCGTATAGGACATGACTTATACTCGTGTAAGACATGTAGTGATGTAATCATGTTGTACATGATGTGATGCACCAGTGTGTTACAAGTTGTTATATTATACAATGTATTTCGTTTAGTTTATCGGGAGATAACTGCAATTGAACTCTGGTAACGTAACCGATTTCGCTAGTTATTTGGTATACCCAAGTGCAATTATAGTCATCCCTCGATGTCACAAATGAAGTAGAAAGTTCATTCTTCAATATACGGTAACCACGTAATGTCAATTATCCAATAAATTTTACAGAAAAATGGAAGCGAATTCCCCGCGCGTTTAAAAATACCTCTTCGGAATATAGTTTGTTTGAAATATCATTTGAGTCAATTTTGTGAAAATAATGCGGCTTTGATTTACGAGATTGCAATAAAATAAACGTTTGTAATAAGCTTAAGTAACATAAAAATGTGAAGTATTCAAAAATTGTTGTCTGGTTTGTTGCTATGATTACAAAGAGGTTGACAAGGTGTGCTGATTGTAGTCTTTATGTTTGGATTAATTTTTGAGTCTAAGATTTTAAATGAATGAAATTGTAATCATCCATCTTTGAATAGACGATAACCATGTGACGTCAATTACCCAATGAATTGCGTAGATTTTATTCCGAGATGAAATATATTTCTACAGACGGTTTGCCTAGGATACCCTTGGAGGACCGTCAGCCAGTACGAAGATACAGAATTGAAAGGTCGATGGTTTGATAACTCAGTTTTACGAACTCTGCGATTTAGTTGAAATGGAAGGTGAAATATATATCCATTTTGTAGTTAAGACCAATATTTTATTCTATTTACTTTAGAAATTCGCTGATTAGTCTGGAGAAGTCAAACTGATTTTTAAAATAGAAGGCAATTAAAAACTAAGAGTATTGATTGCAACAACAATTTAAAGACCAGCTAATGTCCTTGTATTGATATACCAACACTGTCTGTCTCCTGTTTGACCACCCGCAGAGGCTCCGACAGTCACCGCTCTCTTTTGTAGTGAACAATAAGGCAAATGAGGAAAGGGGCGATAACTGTAAACAAACAAGGCTAAAGACAATAGCGATGGCCTTATCGGGGTGTCTCGTGATCCCGTCTACGTAAAACAAACAGTCTGTACTAGTAACAAATAAACAGAGATCAAATTAACTTCAGTAAATAGGGTTTTAACTTTCCTGCGGTAGATAGTCTTAGACACGTGTTATCAGCGAGGTGACATTCTCTTTATGTCTTCATTTTCACTCTTGATTTACAATACATGTATCTGCTTTTGTGTTCCGAGATCAAAGGGAGTACCCAGTGGCGCCTCCGTCTCTTCCACTTTTGACTAAGCTAGTGTCAGGTATACAGTTTTGCCCCTACAGAACCCTATTGAATAACAATATTTCCAATGGCTAGAGTCCAATTGTACGGCACCGCCCCATGACAAGCAACGTTACTGCCATATACCTGGTCCGGAGGAGACATGTCGAGATGGTGTTGTGTGAACTAATGAGCAGCTATGTACTGGATTTAAATTATTTCTCTGATGTTTTTAGACAATTTTCATCCAACCGTTGTATACACTTTTAACAAAATGTTTGATCGACATCAACCCATAATCACAGACAAGTATTCAAACTGAAAAGCGAATTATTGTTCCAAAAATGAGGCGATGACATTCCCGAAAATTCAATAATCACCATGTATAATGGAAGTTTGCATAAATGTTGAATTCTCTTTTCCGTGTTTGTTGTATAAATTTGATGCACAATTGTCAGTGTGGTATATGTAACAGTGGAACAAGAAAAAAAGAGAGAAAAAATGAAAATCCTTCAAATGGTGGCACAACTTAAATTTGTTAACACTGTCCATGCAACAATCTTCAGCAACTCGACATTTCATAGAATTCAAGTCAACACCAATAATATTTTATACCAGAAGTACATAGCTAGCATCACACCATTCTTCCAGCACAGAAGTACTCGTCATTTCCTACAGTTACTCCATGTGTTTTGTCCTACCTCTCCTTATAGCTATGGTTCAACTAGGCACATTGCAACTGGCATTTTAAGCCTTATCCAAAACATTAAGGTACATTTATGAGGATTTTTCATGAAGAGCCAGAAGATATCGTAAAACCCCTTCCATCAGAATCTGACCTTTAAGTGAATGGGTGAACCGAGAGCTTGATGTTATGGATTCACTTAGATTTATTCGGCCTCCCGTTATTCAAAGAAGAAGCAGCTTGAAACCTAAAATGAAAACAAAAAGTTTTACCGCCTTGAACCTGATCCTGACATTGATACATTTCCTGCATACAAAAAGAAATAGGTCTGTTGTACTTACACGTTATTCAGTATTTCAACAGGAGAAAAGGTTGCTAATCAAACCTTAGAATTACAATCATATATATTGCGTTTTTATTATAACGATACCGACCTCCCTCGTTTATATTTGATTGTTAAACTTCACAAAAATCAACATAAAGATTGTTTTATTACGTTTCGTTAGTTGTTCACCACAATCTTTTCAATGCCTCTAACAACCATGACCAGCTATAAAACTATCAACACGAATTACAGTCTTATTCTGATACGGTTTACTAAAGAAGTGTAAATAATGGTTTGTGGATTTTAAAGAAAGATGAGCTTGCCAATCTTGAACATCCTCTTCTAAAATGCATTTCTGCAACAAGAACATTTTACTTTACACTCTGTACGCTACAATATCACATTTTGAACTGAGGGAGAGCCTTTGTTCTCTTGTTATAAGAGAACCGTGCCGAGACGTGTTTTGTGAAAATAAGTCTAAATAAAAGAAGACATAACCAAAGACGAAGTCGGTAAAATGATCGAATATTTGGTTTACTATATCTTCCTCGAGTTCGGTGGTAAAATCTCTCATCAGATTTGCATGCGCTAACAAAGTAATTCACTTTTGAATTTAAAATAAAAATGATAATTTCTCGTCTTTAAATAGCACGAAATTTATTGACCACGTCATTTGTATATACATGTACTCTTTAGAATTAGAAATCAAAGGTAAGACAACCTATTCTAAATCACCGCTTACCTCGATACGTTCCTACAACAAAACTAAGCCGTATGGTATGCATGATCATTATAAATATTCCATTTCTGGATAGTAACAATTCTGCGTAGATTTACGTGTGTCATATTTGATTTAATATCCAAGGATTTTTTCCCATTATTACGGTTTTCGTGCAAGATGTGTACAGCTGACAGATAAAGCCAAGATAGAGGGTTTCGAGAGATGCAGGTGGACGGAGATGACGGGGAAGCTTGACGTCGTCATAATGATCTCATTATGAGATTTACTATTGCCTTGTGCACTTTGAAGTGTTTGGTGCTCGTAAGTATGCCTGGTGGTTCCGATGTTGTTTATCTTGTTTTAAATCAGCAGCTTGACATTATTAAACTGGATAAACTAATATTTACATCCAGAGCACGATATGTTTCACTTTTTCAAAACAGTTAATCTCAGTGGCATGTGCTAACTTAATCGTCCGCTGAAAGTGGGTGTAAATCCGCTGACTAAATGGATAAATAAAGCACTTCCGGTTGCATGGAAAATAAGAGACATTGGTAGAATCAATTGATAAGTACCAATTATTTCGAATCATTCTGGCGTTCAAATGTTTCCTATCGGTCTGACGTCGATGTAAGTTAAAGAAGACTTTCCGATGATTCGGTTAAGAATCGTTATAAACAAAATGTATATATTACAAATGATTTTCTGGTGTCCACACATGATTTAGCAAACGAATCTTGGATGTTTCTGATGTGGTTTTCATCGAAGTCCACACAGCCAGAGTTTGTTTAATCTTGGTTTATGTGATTGTTGATTATGCTTCTTGTTTTTAGTAATAAATATATAAACAATTGTGTGGTTCATATTACAATATATATTGGAAACGATTAGCATTTTATGATCTTATACATT